GCCTGTCCTTTTCACCTCCTAATACAAGATTGTCCACCAAATGCAATGGTGGAACAAAATTGTCAAAAAGGTTAAAACATAACAAAAATCTTTGAGAACTTTAGGGTAGATAGCTCTTAAGTACTTGTCAACTTGCAAAACAAAACACTTGCCTATTTTCAAACCACACTTCACAAACACTTTCAAAACAAACTTTCAAAAACCTTGGAACATCTTTTTCAAAAAAGACAAACACCTTTTGTAAAACATTCGAGTAAAGAATTGTTACAAGGGTAGCCTATACAAGGCATCTTTTTCAAAACATTTTCAAACCCACACACAAAGCACCATTTCAAACAATTGAAAATCAAGGCAAGTTGATCTAAGCAAGTACCTAAGAGCCCATGGATAACCATGGATAGAAAGGGTGCTAATACCTTCCCTTTCTATAATCTACTCCCCGAACCCAAGAAAAATCTCAAAGGTTTTTTGCTGTGCTTTTTAAACCTTTCCTTAGGATAAAATAAAAAGTCGGTGGCGACTCTTGCTCAACCGAAACATTTGCGAAAACAAACGCAAAACCATAGTCAGTTCTCCCACCGTATCACACCCATTTACAAAGCATGTTGGCCAAATGACCCATGCGATTCCAAAATAAAAAATTATTCAAATAACTATTAAATTCTTAATTATTAAATAGTTGTTATTAGTAAAGGAGAGGTTGGATTTAAGTATAACTAAGCCCATTTAGGTGTTATTATTGTTAGTGAAAAGGAAAGGAGGTGTAATTGCTAATAACAAGCCCATTGCGTTTTCTAGTCAAAGCCCATTGGACGTTTTTGTCATTTGCTGGTTAGAAGTTTTGTTTTTGGGTGAGAATTTGTTTGATCAAATTAATGTTGGGCCCAATTTATGGTAAAGAGGCCCAATTCAGATTGTGGCAGTAATTAAAAAAATTAAGAAGCATCAAGTATTAAAATTGTTTGTTATTTTTAGAAAAAATAATAAAACAAATTTCTATGTTAAGAGAAAAAGACGTATTTTATTTACTGATAAACCTTTTAAAATATTGTTTTATTTAAATTATTCTTTTATATAATTTTTTTATCAAGATTTTTTTGATGGATTTTGGAAAAAGAGGCCAGTTGGGCCAGATTTTATTTTAAAAAAAAGGCTTTTATGTTGTAATAAAAGTAATACTGCTGGGCTAGATAGACAAAAGAAAGCGCAGGCCCATTTTCCAAATAATCAGCGCAGACCCAGAGTAAATAAAAAACAACAACTGTTTCAATCATGGCCTAAACCACGCTTGTGTTTATCAACAACAAGTATTGTTCAAATTCAACTAAATTTATGCTTGTTTTCGCAGAAAAATAGCAACTGTAGAAATTACAAACTCAATCAAATCTTTTTATAAACTAAATCCAATAAATCAAATCTATATTCAATCAAATCTGCAGATATATTTCAATCAAATCTGCGAGTATTCAATATAATCCAAATCCATATTACAGCAAAACCGAATTGTACAACAAATTACAATCAAGCTCAATCAATTACAACATAACACTAAATCCCTAATTTCTATCTAACTCCT